CCCCCCCCCCCCCAATTTCTGCCCGGATTTCAGCTTTATACAAGGACAGTCCTTTTGCCCAGTGGGGGAGGGCAGAGCCGCCCTTGCCCCCCCCCCCCTTGGCTACGCCACTGTTTACAAGTGTGCACATGTGACCTAAATACCGCGTCGTTATTTGTTTGTAGCCTTATTAATTATTCATGAATTTTACAATTTTATATAAAAATCTGAACTACAACTTTCGAAACAAGTCAGCATTAGGTATATACTGTCTGTATACGGTTGTCCGCAATGTTTTTATTCATCTTTGTTGCCGGTAAAAAGACATCAGTCATCGTCTACCAACGTTGATAAGTTGGAAAATCACTAATAAATACACGAACCATCTCGTCTTCTGCTAGCAGAGCCCAAAAAAACTTTTTCTTCCATCCCTCACTGTTACAGTTCGAGCCACACTCTCTTACAAGATGAGAAATACGACCTGAATGTTCGTGTACATCGAGATCTCCGTTAATTGTTAGGCTACGATCTTGTATAGCAAGAAGGGTGCCTCCATTATTCGATCTCCTCCAAAGATCACACGCTTGTATTTTAACAATAAATCGTTTACCACACTTCGGTGCTTCTTCATATTCCGGACCACTTTGTTCAAGCCACGGAAATGGCGCCTTTATTTCAACTCCATTATTTAAAACTTGTTTATCACCAATTAAGCCGAATGACAATGGAAGAATGTTTATCAAAACGCTGTATTTCTCTAAAAGCCGAGCACAGTTCTTCTTATGCCTTTTCCAGTCACATTTTTGGCATTCTGGATTGCAGTATCCTGCGGTAAAGCATTTGGTACATTTCTTTAATTGGCCTTGTTTATGACAGAAAAAACAAATTTCAGAAATATGTTGCGACGGTGGCTCACATTCTCTTTCTACGTTATTTTTTGATGTATTTTCAGTGCATTTTGCTTTCATGAAATTCTCTTCGCTTGTCAACAAGACATGAAGACTAGGAACTGCACTACCAATTTTATCATTATGTAGCTTGTCTTGGTCAATACCAGGTCCTTGGTTGCTGAAAATGTTGTTGAACTCAATAATAGACTGTTTGTGATCTGATGATGTCTTTATAATTGGGTCAATGTGAATACCACCACATTTGTTTAGATAGATTTTATTCTGAGAAACCTGACACGAAGCATTACTCATTGTGAGAATCCCCCACCAGCCGTTCTCGAAGATTTCATTTTCCTCTATGACTGCAGATGATTTTTCACAAAGATAAATCCCATGGCGGTCATTATGAAATATTTCATTACGTGTTAGTTTCGCTCGCCCATTACCGACACCAACACCAATTTTCTTGTTATCATAAATTTGACAACCCGTTGCATCGCACGAAGCATACTTAACATCTAAACCCCATTGATTTCCGTGAAGCTTGCAGTCCTTCAGCACAAGATTTCCAGGTCCGAGAACTTGCAATCCAATAGATTCGTTACCTGAAAATACAGAGTCTTCAACATCAGCATTCCCGCGAACGAGTAAAGCGGTGCCTTTGCAATTGATAAAATGACATTTCATGACACTTAAACTGCCTTCTGACACAAAAGTATACCCCACTATATTACTGGCGACTGAACATTCGAAAAGCTTAACTACAGACCCGCACGCGGTCTGCCAGTTTCCAAACTCGAATATAAAAGATATATTGACAGCCATGACGCTGTGAGAAAACAAACCAACATTTGCAGCGAAAGATAGCGTAACACTGAGTTCAGGCGAGCCATCACTCGCAGCAACAAGACAAAAACCGCCCATCCGCAAACCTTTCACGTTGATGATTTTATCTTCAACAACTCGAAACCTGTCAAAACACTCTGCAGAGAGACAATACTTTCCAGGCTCGAGAACAATAATTTTGCTCGGCATATCAGAAACAGTTTCACATTGCAACTGAGAAAGCAAAAAAACAAGTGAAGATACGTCATCACAAACATGAATGGACTGCTTTAAATTAGGAAATGAAGTTTGGAATGGTGGAAAGTGCTCAAATATATTGCGATTATGATAAAATGCTAAAGCTGCAGCACATACTGCATTCCACTTTTTATTCAGGCCTTGAAGAGCCAAGGCTTTCTTAGCATAACCTTTCCAACACTCAGGAGAATACTTAATGTATTCTTCAGCATCATTCACAGCATTATTGAACTGCTTTAACCTGAGATAAGCAGAAGCACGGTTGTTAAGCAACTTAGGGTCAAAGGAATCTGTTCCTTTGCTTATATCGATACAGGAGGAATATATTTCCATGGCTTCTTGGAAATTACTTTCCTTGAAAAGATTGTTACCTTTCAAGCGCATTTTTTCAATTTCTGATTTCATGGAATCGTTAACAGAGGCCTTAGAAGTAGCAGGATTGCTTGTGTCAAGTGGAGCCTTACAGGAATATTGAATAAGCCTTCGAAAAGATTCAGATAGAGGAAAGATATGTGGAAATAAAACTTTTAACCCTTCCTCCGAAATCTTGTCGTCACCCCAGTCAAGAATACGATTAGCAAATTCGGCAACAGTTTTTGCCTGACTGGTATAATTATTCACATTCAAATGTAACGCACATTCATAGACTATTCTTGCTACCTCTGGCAGAAAAACCGTTTTCTGTTCTGCATCACAGAAGATATTTAGAAACTTTTCGAGATTCTTGTTAATTTCATACGCATGTAAACAAATCTTTTGCCACTTGTAGAAGCGGGAAGAATCAGTTGAATGAAGAGAAGATCGATCGTTGTCTTCACTGACTACACTTTCTACAAGTTCATCTGGAGAAGGACAATTTAAGAAGGCAAAACCCAACAAACGAGCTGCGTCAACAATGCTTTCAACTTTCTCTTCCAGCTCAAGGTTTTCTCGAATGACCTCTTGGACTAAGCGATGAACTGTTAAGGAAGAGTTACAGGTTTCCTTAAAGAGCGAAAAATCAGTCAGGAGTCTCAGGACTTCAAGAGAACCTAACGAAGAGCTCACATGGTCACAATATGCTTTGTCATCAACATGGGGTTCGCCAACGTTAATAAGTTCCTTTTGAATTTCGTTGGGATTCATAAACGCAGTAGCGTTTAGGAAACGAATGGCGACCATTCCATTTTCATTCTTTCTGATATGTTCAAAGTTCAACAGCCATGTTGTATGAACGGCTAATCGGTCTTCAGATGTGCTGCAAGGCGAACTTGCTTTCTTCTTTTTGAGAAGTTGAAGAGACTGTTTATTGTACGATTCTAAATAGTCGGATAGGGTGCACCTAAGGTACTTGATAGAAGCACAAGCCTGTTCCAACGCCAACGGTAGGCCACCAAGTTTTTCAAATAGAAGATCTGCAATCAGTTCTATATTAAAGAAAATATAATACATAAAATCAATAATACAAAATAATTGGTATTGGAATTAACATTATGTGTTACCATGAAGCTAACTGATGAAAACATAACAAGCAGAAACTAATTTTTAGCTAGAGGATTCTTGGCTCCTAAATTATGGGGTAAATACAAACTATGTACACATGTACATACGACAATTCTATTACGTCAATAAGAAAATACATGAATACAGCAATACACAAATACGAAATAGCCTACGTAACACAAAAATACCAAATAGCCTACAAAAATATGTAAATACGGCAACACGAAAATGTGTAAATGTACTAAATGTATATATTAACGTTGTAATAATATTGGTCAGCTGTTTTCTAATTTAAAATATTTCATGTTGTAACAATGTTGGGGAAATTTGGTTGTTTTGTTAGAAAAGAACGGGGGTTGCACATACGTACCGTAAGCCTACGAATATAAGCGCTGGGTTTATAATCGTTCGTAAACATTATTGATGGGCTTATTCACGGGAGGGGGTATATAAATACGGGGGCTAATACATCGATGAAATTTTGTGTTGGAAATAAATTTGGTGAACAATTATAAATACGCCTTTGAGATTATAGAATGAGGGGCTTATAATCGGAATGGCCCAAGGTTGGTGACTATATGACGAACCTATCATGGAGGGAGGCTTATGTTCTGGAGAAGGGTTAGTGTTTTTTGGTGTACGAACATAAAACGTGATTATGTTGTGCAGTATATCATTACTGAGAAACAGAAAACTCATAGATCACAAGGCTAGTGCAATGTTTCAAGGAGCTAATAGCCTATGTGACCGGCCCTCGTTGACACGGAAAAGTCGGACGGAATAAAGAGCAAAAACTTTCTTGAAAGGACATCCACATAAACGCTTGTTGAATGACCAAAAAAGACTGAACAAAAAGGCTGCTTTCCAGTTAAGCGTTTTTCATAAGTGCGTACACGCAAGGAAAAGTTTAAATCCATTTACAACTTTCTTATGAAATAATTAATTAAGTTATTAAAGGACAGCATTTAGTTTTGTGCATGATTTGAAGTGCATTTGTTGAGGTAATTAGTACTTATATAAAAGTTAGAAAGATTGAAACTTCATTCCGTGCGTATACATACGTGTGAGAAAAGCTTAACTGGAAAGCAACTAGTCCTAAAAACCCCGGGCGGAAGGAAACGTTTTCCCTTGTGCGTAAATAAACAGTCAATCAAAACGAGAAAATGTAATAATGTTTTGAGTTGTGCGTAAAAATTGGTGTTGACCAATCAAATTCTACGTTCAAAATATTTACGGCGTTTAGTCAAGATTGGGTAATTTTCGAGTGTCAAGAATCATTCCTATTTTCAAGTTCCTCATTTCCCATTTCTGTTTTTCCCATTTCTAAGCTTTCTATTTCCTTCTCCCAAATTTCCTGTTTCCACCCTCCAAGTTTCGTATTTCCGTATTTCCTACTTTGAAGATTTGTGTTTCCTATTTCGAAGTTTCATATTTTCTATTTCCACGTTTCCTATTTCTAAGTTTCAAGTTTCTGTTTCCTATTTCCAAGTTTCGTATTTCTATTTCCGTACTTTCTATTTCAAAGTTCCTTATTTCAAAGTTCGGTATTTCCGTATTTCCAATTTTCGAGTTTCCAGATTTCGTGTTCAACATCGCAACGGAGGCAAGGGGAGGGGTTTAAGTGGCGGGTCGAGGGTCAGTATGTTTTTATGTATATTTGATTCTTGGAATACTTTCGTCATTTTGTTTATAATGAACTCGAATCTTACGTAACGTATATATCGTTGCATTTTAGATGTAATGAAATAATTACGAGAAATAAACGAAATAGTTACGAAATAGTTACAGAAAATATGTACAGATAAAGTATTTCAAGGGCGCAGGGATAATAATTATCAAACTTTCTTTTACATTTTCATTAGACCTACACCAGCTTCATCCAAAACAGCCCATAATGTCAGCTCCCTTTCTTACAGAAGTTCGATGGACTTGTAAGGTTAAGGGTGTTAATACAATGAGGGTGTTGAGAGCGACTCTCGCAAGCCTTCAGACGAGTGGGACTCCACCACAAGATTCTCTCGAGAAAATTTGTGATCTATGCTTTCTTCATCAGCTTTTGTCAATAATGCATGGATTAAGTAAGGCTATGCAAGAGACCAATGTCAAATGGCCAAACATAGCCAATGGAATGGTGGCTGTAAGGAAGCTTCTAAGCTTCTTCTTGAGATTGAAACCAACGATATCATTGAATCGGCCAAACAGCTATTTGCAACTGTGAACATCACCTTGGACTATGAGGAACCCGTGTATATGTTTCCAGACAAGATTCCACAGAATCTGCATGCCTTCGTGAGTCCTGTGAACGTCTCAAGGCAGCTTCTATTCCCATACTCCTCCAAGAGTTGGAACGACGTTTCTCTGGCGAGAATACCGAGATACTGGGTGCTCTGAAGGCTTTAAAAGATGCGTCAAAATCGACATAGCTAGATTATGCGACCCTTTCCAGTCTCGTTGCCAAATTTGGAGATTGTCTCCATACGGACTCTGTCTTGCTTAAACCCGAGTGAGAACGGGCGAAGATTCTAGTTGCTGCCGGAAAGAACATCGACCCTGAGCTGTACCCCAACTTATTCAAGGTGATCGCCATATTAAAGACCTTGCCAGTTGGTGCTGCAACCGTGAATAATCGGATGTTGAGCTGGGCTCGTAATAGCTTAGGCAGTTCGTTGGCCAATAACTTTATGTTGCTATCCATGAATAAATACCTGTTAAAAAGGATAAACTTGGACAAATTGCTTGATCGATGGGTAAATAAAAAATACCGAATCGTACCATTCAACTAAAGACTTGTAGCACTAAAGGAGGACTGACCGCTTATACCGTCATGCTTCGCGCGATACTTCCTTCCCAGCTGTGACCAAACAAAAATGGCGGCAAGAAAATGCGAGATATGCTTGGTTTTTAACGCGGACGTTTGACCTGTTGCCATTGAAATGGTAGGTGGTTATTTTATTTATAGACAATATAAGCTATGAAAAATATCTTCATTCATAGAGTTTTGACATTGTGTATGTACAGTTCTATGAATTATTCATTGAAAGCGCATGGGTCGCAAGAATAATTACCGCTTTGACTTGAGCATGTGAAAAGCACTAATTTGAATTGCAAATTACTCGCAGTCCAAGTAGGCTTGTCAACGGAGTGTATCGTTTTATTCATATTTTAAGATTGGTGAAATTTAAACCACTAAAGAGCCCCACGTTTTTGATAGGAAAAAGCATGGAAAATATGGCAATATTTTAGTGCACACAAGGTTACATTTAGTTAAGGAAATTGAGCATAACAACCTATCCTTCGTGCGGTTTTGTATATATTCTTCAGGCATTGTTTTTTTTTTTGTTAAAAGGAAAGTGCTGAGCCTAGTTTGATCAAGAGAGGACATGTTTCATCTGGAAATACTCCTCAAAAACCACCAAGAAAGAAGGTTGCTCCAAGTGTGACAAGTGCCACTGGAGAAAAAAGCAGCAGAAGAACACCAAAACGTTTGTCATTTTCGAAAAGTGCATCAACATCATCAAATGTAAGTTAAAGTAAAATAATTTACAAACAATTATAGTTGGCAAGTGATCAACACTGTAGCTGTCAGTGTATTGTTCTCACAGATATCTAATTGTGAAATTTTGTATTGTAGAAATCCCCTCGTCTTGTTGTGAGACGAAAAGTATTGCATTCTCCAAGACATCAAACGTTCTCACCAAAACGAAAATCAAAGGTTGCTTGGACTCCTGAGGAGGATTGTTCTCTGGTGCAGTTCATTGCCCTGCATAAGGGTTTGCAACCTACTGACAATGAATGGCCATGCATGAAGCCAAATCATCCATATTGGTTAAATGCTGCCAAGTTTATTGCAGACAATGTTACAGGCAGTTGTGAAAGACAATGTGCATTAATTGTTCTGGAACGAGGCAACCGGTCCAAAATCTTACTGAAATCCCTGACAAATTTACTAAAACCTCAGGAAACAGTGAGTTTTGATGCATTGAGAAACATTGACAGTCTCGGCACAACAAAACTCACTGTTTCCCTCGCTATCAATAAATAAGTGATAATTATTAACACATTAACGACAAGTACTCTACAACTGACAAATAAAATTGTTTGAGTAAATACTAAAGTAGGGCGCATTGCCTGCTAATGGGTTAACAAGACACATTGGCAGATAGGTTTATTAACCCATTAACGACCAGTTCTCTACCACTGATGAGTAAAATTGCCTGGTGTTAGAAAGAGTAAATACTAAAGTAGGGTGCATTGCCTGTTTATATATTGCCTGTTTATATTTGGGCGCATTGCCTGATTAATGGTTAAAATATTTATGCTAATAAACCCAATATGATCTTTTGTATGTGTAATATTTAGGTCATTCTAGATAAGATGAAATAAAATATATATTTGTAGGAGATAACCTCATATCTGAGACCATGACAGTGAAACAGTTGATCAATATATAGTAAGCTTTTTCCTATAAAAAATTCACGAATGTATTCCAGTATTTCTTATTATCCACTATGACCCAATCACCCAAATATTAAATGGGAAGCCAAGTCCGTTCTGCGCATCGGTTCTGCTCATAACAATGTGAGGACCTCTAATGTGAACATTGCCCAAATTTCAAATGTTTCGAATTTTTCTGAACATAGCTCTATTTCATATTCATTTAGAAGCATAGCGAACCAAAATGGTGTTAGATATTCAGACAGTACATCATATTTTAAAAAATACAGCAGTTCAAAATGTAAACAAACCGTTTGTTTACATTACGGACTTGACTTCCCCTTTAAGAAAAAATCATATTAATTAAGTGTTTGTAGCACTTTAAATTGGATCATTGTATTCATATGTTTTACTGTCTGGTAGCCATCTGTTTCTTTTAAGAATTAATATTTTTGCAAAATATCTGCGGGCCTTAGCTGCATATATATATTTATATATTACATTGTTTAATGCAACTGATGTTATTTCCCCTTTTCTCATTGCATCTGTCACTTTTGGCAGTTTTCTTGCTGGAATGTATCCAATTGGTTTAGATATTCCCAGCAAAGCTTTCACAACTATGGCATTCTCGTCACGCTTGTTAACTGGCTCTGCAGTGAGAGACACTTCAGGTGTATTTCCCTCGAGCATTAATTGTTTGCAAGCATGTAATACTTCCTGAAAGTGACCATGAAAAGTAGTACCTTTCATGAATATCAATTCAGCAAATTGTTCTGCTTCATTGATCTCTTGTTCTTCATCCTGTTCCAGATCATTCTGTTCATGTTCATCATTCTGTTCCAAATCAGCATTCTGTTCTTGTTCAGAATCCTGTTCGTCTATATCACTTGCATGTATGTCCGGTAACCTTTGTTCCAGCACTTCATCAAGTTGATCTTCAAATTCATCATCAAGATCTGGTGAAAAGTTGTTTGGCATTTGAGTTTCAGGGACTGTAAAATCTGCCAAGTCAATTAAGACCTTGCCAATTATTGGAAAGTTTGAACAGTTACAAGTTGTCCTTGTGATGTCCAAAAGTGGGCAAATACCACTGTTTTCATCATCATTGTCAGGTGGGTACTTTGGTGCTAATGGAGTGGCAGTGGTCGATAGAAGCACATCAACATCAAAATCCCAAATCAGCAGTACTTCATCATATTGACCAGCAACATCCTCCTCGTGAAACTAAATTCATATCAATAAGTATTTTTTAAACTCTAACAGTACTTGCATTGGGTATGTCGTGAGTGCAGATATTTAACAATTATTCGCCGAAGGCGAGGTCATTATCAGGGAATATTCGCCAAGACAAAATGCACTCTTGTGTTTTTGGGACTGAATTATTTTAATTTCGCTTATTTTTTTATCAGTAACTTCCACAAAACGGCTAGCCGCCATTTTGAAAATTTCGGTTTTGTTATGTATGGTGAATATTATAACAGCTTTTAATACGTCAAATTTGACCAGTCAAGTGTAGGATTTGTTATGTTCACTTTAGCCTGCGAACAGGCCCTGGGTTACGGGCGGCGCGAAGAATAAAGGGCCTGCACGGAACTATAGGTTTTCTTGGTAGTGGCGTTCGTATAGAAACGCAGGCTTCTGATTGGCTTACACTCGTTGACAAAATTACTAAAAATAGCAAATGTCAACAACAGCATTTTGAAGAATTTGAACTTTATTCATTTTAATATTATATATTATAAGACTATCGAACAAATAAAACTAGAAATGGAAACCAAAAGCAATAGCAAAGCATCACAGCAAAAAGTCTATCATAAATGACTTGAATCTATTGCTTAAATCCAATATACGAAACTATAACAGTATTCTGAACTTCGTCTTCGGATTGACATCAGACTATAGTATAGTACATTTTGAGGTCGTCGTGGTTTCACGAATTATTCTCATTAGTGAGCAAGTCAGCAAGCGAAGGTATACAAAAGATACCCAAATATGTACGAATAATTATATTGTTGATCCTCGTTGGCATGTATAAATATATATCGTACATTAAACGCTGTACTATTTACTGTATAAACTGCTGACAATTTCGTCGTCGATACGGCTTCCACCACTATGCTTCCATTATTGGCACACTCGTGATTTCGAAGAAATTAATAAATACATGCTCATTTATCATTTATTTAGACCACAGTTAGTAAAATTTTAGACGTATTCGGTATTCCAAATCCCAATCTATCTGACCGTATTTTAGTAATAGCTTCAAATATTCAGAACATTGTTCTTTCAGTCGCACATAGTACAAGTATTACTGTACATTGATTCAATGCCAATGGTAGTATTTTATTCGGCTTTATATTTGTATGTGTATTGATATCTATTTAATATTTGAAGAATTCTATATTTTTCCGAGTAATATTTTGTGCGGCCCGCTAATGCTTTGTATTATTGTTCATATATACATTATATATACATTTTAATATTCAGTATTTCTTCGTTGCACAATGTACACGCCTTGCGTCAATTTTACAGTTGACAGTTTATTTATCGCAGTCGACGCTGATTGGTTCGCGTTTAGCAGATTCGAAAAGGGGATGATTGAATAAAACGCATGGTTCCGTGCAGGCTCACCTTTCTCCCAGTGAGCCTGTTCGCAGGCTATGTTCACTTGTGCAAAAATACTAAGATTAAATATCAATTTTTGAGCGACACCAATAAACAAAATGCAGTATAAACATGCCGCCATTTTGTAGCTCACTGGCAAAATCAACAAACGTTTATATCCTTTTTATTTATTGCGAACCAACACAGCAAATAAAATGTAACTCACCTTGAATACAACACTTGAAGTCACATTTATAACACAGGGTGAATTTACTCCATCGACTTTCCTTAGAAGTTCAGCGCTGTTTGGCAAAATACAAATTCGCCGATTTGACAACGAATTCATAAAGCTGAAGTGACAAAAATAACCCTCCATCCTCAATAGTGGTAAGCCGGCAATTTTAAGCTGTAATGGATATTGTGTATCAACACAATGAAGGTATAAAATAGTCGAATCTTGAAAAATCTCCGCTTGACTTTCGTGTTCGCTCAAAGCGTCCATCTTTGAAAATGACACTTCGCCTGCTGGCGCGTTTGATAATATAGCGTGGCGCAAAGCATGACGGTATAAGCGGTCAGTCCTCCTTTTGTAGCACTTAAAACTTTCATTTTGACTTTTTTCAGAATTCATAACGCTCATTTTGTGACTTGTGAGATTAGAACTTTAGAATACTTTAGCTTGTTTTTATTAAAACGTGCCATTTCGTTGTTGTTGTTATTGTTATTGTAACAAATACTGCTTTCTTATATTGGGTCTAATTGCCAGTCTCCTTTTCCGAAATATATATAGTCGACAGAATCTCGATTTTAGCGACCGATGTAGGATGTTCAGTTTTATGACGTTTTATCACGTATGAGTTTCTTAACAAAATAACATATCCTTTTTCGCGAATTAAATCTTTACCGCAACTATCCGCAATGAAATAAGACGCTCTGTTGATCTATTCAGCATTTAGTCGCTGTGATTTATATTAAAGACGGGTTACAGTCCGTGCTGCGCA